ATGTTGAAAACAGTCGTGCTGCACAATATTTTTGTGGAAACCGTGATACATTTTATTTTTCAGGATTCTTAGATTAACAGAAATTTCAAAAAACAGCATTGCTTTGAAATAGAAATCTTTTGTAACATTATAAATGTCTTTACTGGCACTTTTGATCAATTTAATGCGTCCTTGCTGAATACAAGTATAAAAGGTTCAGAGCAGCTAAGCTTTAAAAACAGATTCGACGCAGTACTCACTTTCTCAGACAGACGTGACAGTCGAAACAAAGAAATCCTGGAAGTCTCCTGAAGTACAAAGTCAATCCCAAACTCGTTTAGAAAATGGGTTTCGACTTTCGACTCCAACAATTACTCCAAACAATTAAATGATATTTCATTACTTTGAAAAATCACGAATAATCCAGTGAAAGTGCTTGTTCTGCGATTAATTAAACACACTTTGCAGGTTAACACTTGCTCCAAGAACGGCATCTGCGTCCTGCTTCATTACCACAGACAATAATTCTGACCTAAATTAGTGAAAACAGTCTGTAATTGCAAAATAATTAATGAACCTGTCTGTTTCCGAGCAGCTGAATGATTCCTGCTGTAGTTTTATGATTATTCAGAGGTTTAGATGTGACCTGAGCTGCTCATGCCCTCAAAAGACCTCAAACATGATGCATGAGAACAAACAATCAGCTATTTTAAACAATAGGAGGATTTCTAGATAACGTCTCTCTAATTCCCAGCACGCCAGAGATCACAAATCCCAGCGAGCTGCTGAATAAACTGATTTGGTGTAACGGATGGTGTGTTACAGATTGTGTTCACTGACAGATTAAGGGTAATGCATGTAATGTCCAGCAGGTGGCGGTGCAGACCTTTATCTAATAATATCTGCCTTGTGGGTTTTACATTTCTAACACCCTCTGGTCATAATCTGATGAAATAATCAGGTATTAAAGGTAAAGTGTCAGTAATGGGAGAGTGCTTTACCCAGCCAGCTCCTGTTCAGATACACAGACACAAACACAGGCGGGACGGTGAAGAAATCCACCACTGAATTCACCTCCAGCCAGAACCACAGCTTATCATTGGCTGCAATGAACTGCAAGAAGGCAGAAAAGAAAGACAAAACACGTCAGTCATCAAATGCATATAAATAAACCAGATTTATTGTTAATTAAAAAATAAAAGTGTTAAAAATTGTTTTTGGCAGTTGAAATAAAGCTTAAATAAAATATAAATAAATAATAAAAATATAAAACAAATGTAAAAAAAATTAGATAAACTAAAGTTAAAACTAAAACTTAAATAATAATAAATAAAAATAAAATAAAATAAATTAAAATACATAAGTTTAAGTTGAAGTACAAAAATTACTAAAACTTAAATAAAAACAATAAAGCTAATTTAAAATATTAAGAAATATATAATAGTATATAATACTAAAATAACACTGAAATAAACTGAATAATACAATATATTAATATTAAATATTAAAAATACAAATATTAGATGAAAAACCTATACTTAAAATTTTTTAAATGAAAATTAAGTTAATACTTAATTAATTAAAATGACAAAAAAATGACTAAAGTTTAAATTTAAATAATATATAAAAATAAAAGTTAACTCATACTATTAATAAATATACAAAAGTATATAAATAATACTAAAATAACACTGAAATAAACTGAATAATAAAATAATAAAATATTAAAAATACAAATATTAGATGAAAAGCCTATACTTAAAAAAATCTTCAATTAAAATGAGAAATACATGCGTTTAAACTTAAGTACTAAAATGACTAAAACTGGAATAAAAACAAACCAAAGATATACTTAGATGAAAAGCCTATACTTAAAAAAATCTTCAATTAAAATTAGAAATACATGCGTTTAAACTTAAGTACTAAAATGACTAAAACTGGAATAAAAACAAACCAAAGATATAGAGAAATATTTTTCTAATATTTAACTAAAAAAAATGTCCAAAAAAAAACAACTACAAAAACTTTAAGTAAAATGACATTATACCAATAAAAGCTAATTCAAAATATTAACAAATGGTATATAAAAAATACTCAAATAACACTGAAAAACAAAAAACGAATGGTAAATAACTGCATCTGTAAGTGTGTACAGTACATGACAAATAAACTTACACGCAGTCCAAAGTACAAGAGGAAAAACACGTTGAAGGCCATATCGATCTGCAGCGTGTAGTCCTTGTCGAAATGCTGACAGGATTCGATGGGTCTGTTTAAACACAGAAAAACAGACCGCAGTTCACTTTAATGAAGGTTCAGTGAAACACAGTATAAAGCATTCAACTTTACTGCAATAACCTGCAAGTAAATACTGCATGTTTAATGTAAATGATCTTACAATAATTTTATACATTACACATTCAAAGTTTGAATCTTTAACATTTGCATTAAGCATTATTTCATTAAAGCATTGGCTGATCGATCAATACATTTTAGTAATAATGAATCCCCTCATTTCATAAAATTATAATGCAGCTGTCATGTAGACGTTAAATGCATCTTATTCCCGACAGCGAAAATAATTAACATCATTATGAAGCAGAAAACTAATCAGAAATATTATGAATTATTAAAGCAATGATATTATGACTCTGATGTGTGCTATTATATGACATACAGTAGGTCCATGTTTTTTTATCCCCGAAGGCAAATAGAAGAGTCTTTTTCCATGTAAGTATTTACTGCTAATAACGGTCGGCACATGTATAGCACAAATACTTTTTCTTATACTAAATGACGGCAGGTTGTTAGTGTAAGCTATATATCTGAAATGTTCTGATTGTCTTTGGTTTCTCGTAATGATGCAGACGCTCAGGACAGATCCAATGATTGGGTAATTGGTAACAGGATTAGATGCCTTGTTTTAATTCAGTCAGAGGCAGTCTGTGTGGACAGAGAGAGGACGAGAAACACAAGCAGAACGAGATCTGAGCTTCAGCATAACAGAACCGTTCAACCAAAGAATGGATAGGAGTGCATAAAAGAAAATGAAGACTATCTTAGGACCGTTTAGTATTTTTGTTCTACATTATGACTTTATGTTCAAGGAAATTAAGCAGATTTACCCACCAAAGTCTCATTATTGCAAAGAATCTGGACATTTTACTTTTACTTGTTTTTTTCTCTAATTACTATAAAGCAGTATTTCTTTACTGAAAATACCGAATTACTAAACTCTCAGCCAACAAACAAACCCCAAGTATATAAAAAAAAACGAAACAGTATATTAACAATTATTATCAGAACTGCTTTATAATTATTATTATCATTAGATTTTGATAGTTTATGTAAATGCAAATTCAAAGTGGAATATATACATTCATTAGTAATTAACAGAATTTAATATCAATCAAAATATGTGATATATCAAAATATTTATATATATTGATACAAACTTTTTATATATAGAGAGTTCACTTATATTCTGACTGATATATATGCATTACAGTACATGTCTGTTAATGACTAATGAAAGTGAAATACTTTTAATTCAATTATGCTTTCTTATACATCAATTATTCTGTCAATTCTATTATATTCAGGAAACCGGTCAGCATGACATCATAGGGCTGTCACTAATGATTATTTTGGTAATCGACTAATCGGTCGATTATTCTGATGATTAATCGAGCAATCAGGGTTTTTTTTTTTTTGGTAATAAAAATAGACCTAAGCGAACAATAGACTTTAAAATGACTTAAAATACATATATAATAGCAATGAGGCAATAATAATTGGTTCAAATAAAATATCAAAAGCAAGTAATCATATTGTTTTATTAAACAAAGTTAAACTACATAATGTAATAAAACAATATAATCAACTTATGTACATTACATCAGCATACAGTTTATTAAAAGCAATAAAACAAATACTACCTTTATGTATAGGCCTAAACACTTTATTTAAATGTGTTTTATTTTAATATATTTTTAACATATTACAGTAATGACAATTAACTTTTTTTTTTAATTAATGTTTTGGGAGGAAATGTCAAAAAAAATAAATTTTTATAAAAATCATAAAAAGTTTCATAAAAATATATACAGAACAAATATTTGTTATATATATATATATATATATATATATGAAGCGGTTCA